TGTGTGTCGTATGTTCAGTATGCGTAACTCCCCCAAGAAAGCATGACTGTGACAGATTGTTTCGTCGGGCTTTCACCTACTCGTCAGGAGATGTGTGTGTGTGTGTGTGTGTGTGTGTGTGATGTCATGTTTGCCATACAAATCTCCACAACAAAAAACAGGAGGATGACATTGGCAGACTCTGTTGCCCTGGACTTTCCGTGACCCGTCAAGGAGGTTAGACCATGTCAGGCTGATGCTGTGCTGGATGCATTTGGCTGATGGACAAGGACTCTACCAGTAGTCACCGTGTTGTTTCCCAGGGATCGCAAGACCCGTGCATTATTGCGAACACATTAATTGAGCCCGCGGACTACCCCACCCATTACCCACCTTCCGCGCAGCTGGATACCGGGTCCAGCATTCCTTATCCCCATAGAACAACCACCTTAAAACTTGTTGAAGGTGGTTATTTGAAATCCGCGTCAAAATATTGTCAAGCCATGATCGTATGACACGCGACGCCCCGTTCGACAAGGAGGCGCATTTTCATCGTATTCGCCGCAACAAGTCCATCGCCTTTTCCAGTTTGCTTTCCCTGTGTTTGGCCGTACCCTCGTCTCGTTCTATTTATAAACAATTACTCCCACTTGCTTTCGACCATTCGCCGTCAATTCCCTGATGAGGAGGTGCCAACGCAAATAGTCCTTTGTCACCCGTCTCCACCACAAATAAAAACAATAAACAATGTTACAACAAAAAATAAAAACAGTGAACAACAAAAAATAAAAGCAATAAACAACAACAATAACAACAAAAAACACCACCTCCAACAAGAGTCTTTTTTTATTTTAATTTGTATTTTTTAACGTGTCATTTTATCACTTGACCCAAAAACAATAACCAAGCAACAACAATATTATTCCATTGTGATCTGACCAGAAAGAAAAATGTCAAAGTAATAAAATAGTAAAAGTACGTTGTAAATTTTTTAACTTTCAAGTTCAAAGAACACAAACAAAGCTACAACTAAAAATGAAGTCTACAACACCAACCACGGATCTTCCAGCCTCGGTTTGGCTACGGCATTCATGTGAGGAATGTCGCCGTTGTTTCCCGGTTTTATAATGCAAAGTTGCTTTTGTTTTTCAAAAAAAAAAAACAAAAAAAAACAAAGAACTTGGACAATACCTTTTTTACCAAAAGGAGGAGTTTTATTAGTGTGCACCCGGCCCAAGTGCTCAAGGCGATATATATACATAGTATGAAAAAGAGCTGCTGCGGAATCAGCGGCTGCAAGGGTTCCAGTCCTCCTCTGTGAGGTGGAGGTCCCCCTTCACTGTAGCAAAGTCTTTCGTATTCAGGAAAAAGAAAATGATTGTACACTACCGTCTTCACCGAATAGAACGCCCGGTGATTATCGCTGCATCTGGACCTAAAGTTGTGCCGAATACAGCTATAATGACCGGGTGTTCTATTCGGGTGAAGACGGTAGCCACAATCATCGCAAGAGGTTCTAACTTCTTATCTTAGTTGTAAGTTGTAACTAAAGAAGGTACAACACCAAAGGGCGCAAACCCCTAGCACCCACTCGGGCGATTCTTCTTTAAAAAAAAAAAAAAAAAAAAAAAAAAAAAAAAGAAAGCAAACATGATTCGAGTCCCAAAGTCTGCAAAAAAGAGTCTTCAAAAAAGAGAGGCAAAGCGGAAATCTCCTGTACACGAGTCTATAGTAGCAAAAGAAGGTCAGGCGGCGCAGTGTTTCTGAAGCCACTGGATCCTCGCTCTCAAGTTTGTCCATCTCCCAAGGCTCTGTTTTGCAGTCTAAATAGAGGGTGTGGAGCAGATCCCTTTCGATCCTGTGGATGCCTTGCTGTGACGAAGGGTGTTATCATTTGACAGCACCACTTCATTTCTCTGATCTCCATAAATGCCAAAGTAGTGTGTGTCTGACGGCTTCATATATGTAAAAGCTTGAGGCTGCGGAAAAGGCTGCAATCTCGTGCGCAGCAGAATTGAAGCACTTGACCCATAGATCGGCCCATTGCTGAGGTATGGGGGATTCTGATATGTTCCGTGGCCAAATGGTTCGACCATTCACGCATGAAACCCAAGTGTGGTGTTGGTCTTTCACGTGAAGACGACAACAACAAACAAGAAGAGAGAAGAAAGAAGAAGAAAAAAGTTTTTTTTTTTTTTTTGAACTTCAAAGTTTAAATAACAATAACAGAACCACAACAATGAGGACGACAACGACAAAAAAAGAGAAAAGAAAGACAATTTCAAATAACAATAACAGAACAACAACAATAAAGACGACAACAACAAAAAGAAGAGAAAAGAAAGAAGAAGAAGAAGAAGAAGAAGAAGAAGAAGAAGAAAACACAATAACAACGGCGACAGCACAAAGAAAAGAAAGGGAGGGAAAAAAAAAAAAAAAAAAAAAAAAAAAAAGAANAAAAAAAAAAAAAAAAAAAAAAAAGAACAGGTGTTCCAAATTACAATTCACCACAGAAAAAAGCAAACAGCAACGATGCTATCCGTCTTCCCCTCGAATAGAACATGTGGTCGTTATGGCTGTATCTAGACTAAAATGGGGCCCCAAATTCCCCAAATACAGCTATAGCGACCGAGCGGGCTATTTAGGTGAAGATGTCGTGTCCACACTCGTGTCACATGATTTTGAGAAATGAAGTGGGCGTATGTCTGGGTTTAGGGTTTAGGACAAAGTCGATGCCCATGCACAGAGAAACAGCCCAGCTCGATAAGAACCTGGACTTGGGAGCGATTTACTGGAAGCAATGCACAGTGAAGCACACACCTTAGTGGGGTATTTGGGTATTTCACTTTGCCCACACGTAGTGGGGTATCTGGGCATTTCACTTTGCCCACACTTAGTGGGGCATTTGGGCATTTCACTTTACACAGACTAAGGTGTGTGCTCCCACTGTGCACTGCTCAAAGGAGATCACTCAAAGTCAGTCGGGGCTCCACTCCAAACGAGCTGGGCAGTTTCTCTGTGCACATGGGCATGAATTTGGTGCCTGCACACCCGGATGAACCCGGCAGGCAGACCTCCGGGTGGGTTCCCGGGAAGCTCCAGCGCAGAGTGAGAAAGGAATTAGAAAACGCCAAAGAAATGCAGAAAAGAACTCTGCTGCGAAGAAGTGCAATGCAAACCATTTTTGGCTGGGGGGCACCTCAGAATCCCTTTCTTCACCCCCCCCCCCCCCCCCCCTTGTCGTTGAGACACCCTACTTCCCTCCCACGAAACTATTGGACAACAGTCACAGGCACCAGTGCTAGGCAGACAGCCCACCCAGCCCTGGTAGAAGCCTCGCCGGATGAACCTTGTCGCATGGGCACTTCAGACATCACACCTGATGGTTGTATTTTTACCCATGTTGATGTTGATGTTGATGCCAGATGTTGATGCCGGATGAACCTTGTCGTACGGTCAAAAAAAAAAAAGGGGAAAAATTTTGAAATGCCCCTGACGTTTGTATTCATGTGCGATTTGCCCCACCGACGGCCATGTTACCCGGATTTAGCCCTGGGCCTCTGGAGTTGCATGCAGGCCCCTATCAGTGAGGGGCACAACTTTTCAGAATGTCCCTACCGGACCAGAGGTGCTATTTCCCCTGCTGCCTGTCCGATTTGCCCTTCTGTGGGGGACGCATCTTCCTGAGATGCCCTCCAGCAGGGAGGCGGTGTGACGCCCAACCTCACGCCCAGCGCGACTTCCTGATCGGAGTGGGATGGGGGCCCGAAAGTGCGAAAAAGGGGTGTGCCAAGGATTTTACGAAATTGTAGTGGAGTCCCAGGTCGGAACTGAGATCTCCTGTGGCCAGTTCAAGGGTAATTGAGCAAGATGGTAATCCCGAGTTGCCTCGGTAGCTTAGGCTTCGGGACACAAGGCTACCGTTGGTGTGAGTATCGGCGTCGTGGTCGGTCTCGGATCTGATGGACCTTCGCGTTGGTTGGTTAGCCATCGGCGTCGCTCGTAGCAGACTTCGGAATCTGACCAGGCTGGTCTCAGTTGAAGACTATGCGATCGCTGGTCCGCCTCAGTTCGGGTCCGGCGGACGAATCCCGCTGTGCGGTAAATACGATCTTGCTGGCACTCCGAGCACGGGGTCCGTGGCCAGTAGGGGCTGATCGCGCACCAAGGGACCGTTGTTAGACAGTGGAAGGGTATTACGAGGCGGTGGGGAGGATAA